TAGGTGCTTTTTATACATTTGACAAAAAATGCACAAACACTTCTGCAAATATCCCAAATTTAGAAATATATAGTGTGACTACTTCGTTTCAATCGAAGTAGAAAGAATCGGCCTACAAATATTATTACATTTATTTTTAACTTTAATAAAATGATATCCCTAGATTTTTCCGGTGTGTGTATTTTTCTGTTTCAATACCGTACAGGATTTTTTCATTAAACGCAAAACAATGTTAAATTTAAGAAAATACAAAAAGCATATTAGTTACAACAGGAATCTACATAATACCAAACCGTTTATTCATGTCAGGACCCCGTAAATACAAAAAGCTATTGTTCCGAACGAAAAATGTTATTAATACCTCATTATTTCCTAGAAAATGCGGAAAAATTGTGCCTCACACATTCAGCTGCAGAAAAAAAATCATTTAAGAAAACAACAACAGTATGGACAAAGAAAAAAAATGATCTCTCGGTAGTACGAGCAACGTACCGTGCTATTACCTCTATTACCTCCACTCAGATTTGCATACAATATCTGCTTGCTAGGTCTCGATAGCGCGTCGATGAAGAGGTACCACCGCAAGAAGAGACGAAGTACGACCAGGAGATTAGGACCGGCCGTATAACAATTTGTAGATGCCGATAATTTTGCGAAATTATTCCGCTACTGCCGAGGCAAATTATGAAAATTTGATATGTATCCGGTGAGTGTTCAGGACGAAAATTGCTAAGTACCGGTAGCAGTAGTAGTACTATCGGCTAGCGGTAGTACTAGATGGTCTCTTTAGACGCTTATAGAGTTATCTTTTAGTTAATGAGCCGGTTGTGGTTTGAGAAAGATTCCTAGGACGATAGAAAATATAGTTGAGTTTGTAATTACACTATCTGAAGACTGTGCTGGACAAAAAAAGTTTTAAGATAAAATACGGAAGAATTCGTTCTGAATTAATTTTAAAAAGATTTTCCATCAGTCGACAAAAAAAATATATTTCTAAAATTTATTAAAATTATAAAATTTATTATATTTCTACGATGTAAAAAAATAACACCCTGTATATAGACATATCCACTGTCCTGTCCTGGCCAGTCCGGAGTGAAAGTGGTGGCGGTAATCAAAACGTTGTCCGAGCCGATGCAGCAATGGCGATATTAATGAATTGGACTCTGGGGTGGAATAAAACAAATTGGACGGGGAGGGTTTTTCGCTGGCCCTTTTTTTCGACATAGGGTTAACACACACCCTTTTTTAATTGTAGTGGGGAAAGGTGGAGGATCCAGGTATATAAAATATTATCATTTGGAAGTACAGCACAATTCATTTATCTTTGGCTACATGAGTTAATATAAGCTTATATCGTCTTGGTAACGCTATCTAAACTTGTTTTCCTTTATCTATGACTGAATTGAATTGACAACAACCGTCAATTCATAAACAGGTCATTTAAGACAATATTAACCTGGCAATAAATAAAGGCCCTACCAGCAGCGTTAATACAAATATACCGGAAGATTAATAAATGCACAACATATGTGTCATTTTAAAATGGGACAAAATATACTAAATTTTCCCGAAATCATTAGAACACTTCTTGACGGATGACAGAGAAAGGAAACGATGACAAACGACTGTTAATACATCAAAAACGCCAAACTAATATTAAAATAAATGTGAAAAACATCCGACCCGAATATCTACACGTATAACGATATGCGATTTATTTTTAATCCTTTGCCATATTTTAAGATTACATTGTCGACGACAAATTCGAAATCTTGGCAACGTGTGTTACGTGTCTGGTATCAATCGGTCTGTCGGCAATAGCGTCCTGCCAAATCCACGTTTCGTTCGCGCACCAGTCGCCCGTCCTCACGAAAAATTAAGATTAATCGCGGTCTGGAACAGATCTAGGAATAATTTGACTTGTCAAAAATATTAATTCGACTTTCCAGTCGGACACGACAAGACAGGTTTCGATTGGGGAACCTATATGCAGCAGAGGAATTTTTAGTTGTTAAATACAAAGAGGAGTCTATCGTTATACAGTGAAAAAATTATAAGTAATTTTAAAAAAATATATTGATATAAACACACCGGAAAAATCTAAGGATATCATTTTATTAAAGTTAAAAATAAATGTTTTGAATAAACAACCACATATTTGTAGGCCGATTCTTTCTACTTCGATTGAAACGAAGTAGTCACACTAGTTATTTCTAAATTTGGGATATTTGCAGAAGTGTTTGTGCATTTTTTGTCAAATGTATAAAAAGTACCTAGCATCAATTGTTCCAATTTAACATGTACTGGCTATGTTTTTATGATAACTGGCCAGAATTCATTCAAATAACTCTGTTTAGTATTAAACGACATTATGGATCGTAGACATCTTAACAGAGACGAAATGCTAAGGGCCATGGGTATGCTCGAAGCTGGAATGCGCCAAATCGACGTAGCTAGAACATTAAATACAAGGCAAAGTGTAATATCGCGATTAAGTGCACGCTACCGTGAAAGTGGTGATGTTGCTGAAAGGCACACAGGGCGACATCGCAACCTAAAGAACGAATGGTAAATTTACTACAATAATCTGTGGCATCAAGAAATGACCCTCAATATTGTTATTTAATTCACAAATTAATTTTTTTTCAGTGCAGACTTAAAGCACGAAAAACCCCTGTATATTGCTAAAATTAAGACAAAAAAATTACAGTTGTCTCTTCCAAAAACACGATATTATAAATCTCTCTAAGCTTCCAAACGATCTAACCCATCAGTCACTCTGTCATCGATAGGTACCCTCGCAGGGCGTCAAACTGACCAGATTTGACATCTGTGCAGAAATACGAAGGATACGCGGCGCCAGAATTCCGGCTTGCGTTCACCCTAAAATATCGAAATTAAGGGCCAAGGAAGCTCTTAAGGGCTGAAATGACATTCGATATTGGGCCTGTCAAGATTCTCGACGTGCCTACGAATCAAATTAAGGATAGCAGGCGATAATTGGCCAGAAATGGTACCGGGGTAGTGTTACAAGGATGTGGAGAATTTTCGAATGTCTTACAAGGTAATAAAAGTGGTACTTCGGTTCAGGAAGTTTTTTTGTCAGTCAAAATCTAAATTTTAACCAATTGCAACAAAATTACGTGAAAATTCTCCATAGTTGAGCAATTTATCGATAGTATTGTCTTTCAATTTATCGATAGTGTGCCTTGTAGCAGCAATTATAATAAGTCCCCAGGATCTGTCTACATTCTCTTTCCCAACAATATTAACTGTAACTAGGTCACGTCCAAAACCTACAGAACATGCTGTGCCTACAATTTTTCCAAATCAACCCTCTTATGGACCCTCTGTGCATGTTCCCATAAAGAGAAAACGTCCCGATGAAAGAAAACAAGATTTGGAAATTCAGGATGAAATAAATATTGAAAAGTATCATTATTATTATGAAATGGCAATATATTTTAAGGAAATTAAATGAATTCGTACTTTATTTCAGTATTTTATATAAAAAAAATTATATCTTATCTTTTTATTTACGATTTATGGAGATGGTTACTTGATGAACATCGAACTATAAATTACTAAATGTTAATAGTTAATTCTATCTGATATCCACATTTTTTAAATATGTTCGGCAAATTTTTACAATTATTTTAAATTAAACTTTAAAATGTATTCTGCCGTTATCATATACAATACATTTTCTTAACTTGTCGATAAACGAATTAGTTTTCAAATTTTTTAATATTTGGAAACTTTTTATCACAGGTATATTATTACTAGTTGCTAAATACTCGCTATCGCAATTTTAGGACATGCTTTTTATTATCTAGATTTTATTTTGTTCATCTTATGCTGTAGTTTATTTCATATTAATATTCGTGCTTTAGATCTAAATTTTAATGCTATTCAATTACTTTAACGCGATAAAAGGTTAATGTTATTTTTTAATACCTTTCTGTATAATATTTTTCATATTTATATCTGGCAAAACTATCAATAGATACTATTATTTAGGCAAAACCTATATGCAGTACCATATGGCACAATACAAAAGCCGGACTAGTGCGGTGACGTCACAAATCGATGTCTCTGGCCTGTCTGTCATGTTGGTCATGCTACTATCTATGTTGCCATACTATTAAGAAATTTAACAAATTCCGAATTTTCAAAAAAAAATTTCGCGAAAAATACCTCATACGCGTGTTTCTGGGGTTGAACTATAATACTACCAGTTAAAATACTTGTACTTGTTTCTGGGACACCCTGTATATCCTAAACGATAAGTAGATTCGTTTACCTGTACCAGCTCTAAATATAATTTTTACAATATAAAGCAGTTGTTGACTTTTCGAAAAAAATCAAATCAATTTTTAATAAATAACTTTTAAACAAATATTATCCCTACCTTGCGACTAAATATATTATACATGTTGAAATAATTTCCACAGTTTGCTCTTTGTTCCATACAAATGAACAAAAAAACGACGCCAGGGTTGGCTTGGATACGAGAATCGCATTTTATATGTTAACTTAAAATTATATGCTGAATATCCAACTTCACACCGTTTTTTTTTTCGATCATATAGATTAATTAATTGCAAAAGGTTTCTAATAATTTTTAAGTTAAAATAACACCAATAAATTCAAATAAATATTTTCGGTAGCACGTTTATCAGCGTATAACCTTGTTCATTTAAATTCCGAAATTAAACAGTTGTAAACAATTTTAAAAATAATAAAACACACAAAAACAAATAATTAAACCTAATTTTCAAAAAAAAGTCTAAAAACAAATATAGAACCAGAATTAAAAACAATTAAAGTAATTTATAGCCATAATTATCGTTAACAGAAATAAAAAAATCAATTAATGCATTTTAGATATAGTAAAAAACGAAAAGTAAAATAATTTTGACGTCCTATAAAGTAGAATAGACTTGAAAAATGAATATTTTTTTAACAAACATACTAAAAAAACAAAAAAATCCTACCTTTTTGTTGACTAGTCTTGGCTCTTCCTTTGCTAATTTTAGCAATTCCTGCAAATCTCCCTTGCTGGTTGTCACATACCATTCCTGACACTTCTTAGCATCAATCTGAAGCCAAGAAAAATAAATAAAAACTCAATCTATCGATCAAAAAAAAAAAATATCAGAAATCAAATATACATATATGCATTACAAAATAACAAAGTTTTATTTTTAAAACCCTGTAAACATTTCTTGAATACAAATCCTGGGATTTTCGTCACTGGAACAAAGTAAGTCTACAAAATAAAGTTATTTTTTGTAAGCAACACCGACCGTCTTGAATCCTGTATTAGTAATACAAATTTACCTCATACAATAAATGCTTAACTTTTTAGGAGGTATATCCCTTACCGTCGTAAGAAGCAAAAAAATACCAAGAAAAACTGTTTAAAATGTCTATATGTATCTATTCCAGAAAACTAGCTTTTAGCAGATATGTCTATTATAAACCTTTGACGTTCTGTTAAAATTTCACTATCATAATTAATTAATTTATTATGAAACACTACACTCGCTGAAAAATTCAAATCAAGAACTATTCCTCCACAGAAAGTTTATATTGATTTATATAGCTTCATAGTGTAAACAAATTTATTTTTCTGTATATTTTAGCGTCAAATACACAATAAACTAACCTGGAAACAATTTTAACACTCTTAATTGCACATAGTTCATGAAAACACTGAAAATATCGAACACTAAACACACGAAACACTACAAGCCAACAGGAGTTTTAAATCCAACTGCGGAGTTTTGCGTAACAAAACTAAACAAACTATCTGCGCTCGAGATTCAATAAAAAACTATAAAAACTGAATAAACAAGAAAAAAATTGAGACAAGAAATATTAATTGAACGTGTGAAAATATATTATACAGGGTGTACATAAAGTCTAATTTAATATAGTCGAATTTTTTGATACAAATCTTATAAATATAAAAAAACATAATTATATACAGAGTGGTCCATTTTTTTATGTATGTAGTATGACTTTAATAGTAAAAATATTTTTTTTTCAGAATAAACATTAACATTAACCGTCCATACAAAAATATTAATAAGCATTTTTTAACGATTTCTTATCTCGTTCTTTCTTCCTGTTTGTTTTAATCTCTTTTTAATTAGAGCCCAAAAAAGTAAATTAAAAAACGACATAATAAAACGCACACAGGAGGAAGACCAGAAACCTTAGATCATGAAAGTTCATAGACACCGCTACACCTCTAGAATGCTTAGAAATAGTAACTTTTTGAATTTTTATATTCTTAATAATAGTAATGAATATTGGAAAAGTAGGAAGAGTAACAGTTTTTGATGAAACTGTTCTTATTAAAAAATTAAAGACAAAAATCCACCGAAATACTGGATTTTTTGGTTTTGGCCAAAATTGTTCGAAGACAAAGGTTGAAAAAAACTGCTTTCTAGGAAAATCTACGCATTGAGGCCTTTGAATGTTTATATATTTTAAAAGTACATAAAATTTCCTACAAATCCTGTAATTTTCATAATTTTATCGCTCAGTTTACTATTTTTCTACACACCTTGAAAATGTGTTAAAAATAGCCAATTTTTCCATTGATTTCGATTCATCTAAAAAAGCTGAAAATGAACGACTTTTTTAAAACCAAAGCAATAAAGCCTCTAAAGGTTTATATATTCTAAAAGTGCGTAAAATTTCCTACAAATCTTCAAAAATTCATGATTTTATCACAACATTTACCTACTACTTTAGTAGGCCAATTGAAATCATCTAAAAAAGCTGAAAATGAACGACTTTTTAATAAAACCAAACCAATAAAGCCTCTAAAGGTTTATATATTCTAAAAGTGCGCAAAATTTAAATTTGGTATTTTTTTAAAATACCAAATTTAACTTAATAACGATAAACTCAACCAGCACGAATATATTTTATAACAAAACACGTAAACATTGACCTCTGAATTTTTATTGCAAGGCATGATACATCTAATTTAACAATTAATTACGTTTAATTGTTTCGGCTTCAATTAAAATTAAACAATACGAACTTATTACTCGTATAACCAGTTGCTATTAAAAATTAAAGTATTGTGTGTAGGCCATTAAAAAAATCTAGAATTTCTAGTGCATTAAGTCCACCAGTGTTGGTTGTCTAATAATAAGAACTAGGTATAATGTTTTAAGATCATAAAAAAAAACGATTTTTTGTACAAAAAAAAATAAATTAGCACGTGACAAGATACTGACATTAATAATAATAATAATAGAGAAAGAGAAACCCAAATATGGACCACTATAAAACAAACACTTAGTAGATAAAATAGTACTTTACCGCAAGGGTAGATTAAATGATACTTTAACAGCGAGGATAGGTTAAAAACTTTATTTCCTCTCGCACGTTTTTTAATTGCTTCCATTTTTGAAAATTTTTGTATTCCTTTCATAAGTTATTCGGACACGACGATAAAATTGCATTATGGTCTCCCGAAATTAATTCACTCGCGATTTTCGGTTGACGATAAAATACTATTTTATCGTCTTGTATAAAAAATAACTATTTCTCGATAAAATAGATTAAAATAAATGCATTATTTTCTATTTCAAAATTTAAGACGGCTTTTTATGTTGTAGTATAATGTTCGTTCACCCTGTATATTTAGTTAATTGAATTTCTCAATGAGGTTAACTGGAGAGAAGAGTCTTCCTAGCACAAGCATAAAAAACGATCACAGATAAGGATCAGCCTATTTATAGTTCGTGTGTAGTACCGTATAATAAGTTACATATTAATTAAAAGAGTGATTAATGGTAGTGCCCGAGACTTGAAGAAAAAACTATATAAACGATAACGTGCGAATATCGCTTAATATAACGGAGGGGTACTGCCAGTGAATTTCTGGTCTAGACCATAACGTATGCTTCCTGGATGCAGCTATAGCACACTCTAAACTCTGATGTCAACATAATAAAAACTTTTTAAATTCATCTCTGTCATACGTTTGAAGTTCCTAGTTCTATTTTTGCTATTAGTACATATTCTAGTACCGAAATTTTAAATTAACATGATGGATAATTAATAATTCGTAAATGCAAGTGAAACTAGGAATTATATTTTTACACGTATTCCAATGATTATAAAAAATAGTAAACAGTGTGAAAAAACAATGATAGTTTTTAGACTGGTAGGAAATATTATGTACTTTCAGAATAAATAAAATAAATTGCCCTTTTAAAAGCTTTAATGCTCTGGTTTTATTAGAAAAAGTCATACTTTTCAACCCTTGTTTTTAAACAACCTTCGATGATAGTTACAAGTTCGTCTACAATTAGTAACATATAACATAAGTTTCATTAAAATCTGTGACATAACCAAAATCGTCAATTTTCATGACTATATGTATGGAAAATCTCGAAAAATGGCCCATTTTTGACGATTTTTAATACACTTTCAAGGTGTGTAAAAAATAGCAAACTTAGTGATAAAATTATGAAAATTTCAGGATTTGTAATAAATTTCATGTACTTTTAGAATATATAACCTTTAAAGGCTTCAGTGCTTTGGTTCTATTAGAAAGTCCTTTTTTTCAGCCCTTGTTTTTGAACAACTTTTAATGATGTGTAGTTAAAAGTGCATCTACCACTAGTAACATACTCTTATACCCAAAACGGACTATTTTTTCTTATTCCACGCCTTTTAATTAGTTAATAACATAAGTTTCATTAAAATCTGCGACTTGACCAACATCGTCAATTTTCATGACTATGAAAAAAATATGTATGGAAAAAAGTCGAAAAATTGCTCATTTTTTACGATTTTTAATACATTTTGAAGGTGTGTAAAAAATAATAAACTTGGTGATAAAATTATGAAAATTTCAGAATTTGTAGTAAATTTCATGTACTTTTAGAATATATAACCTTTAAAGGCTTCAGTGCTTTGGTTCTATTAGAAAGTCCTTTTTTTCAACCCTTGTTTTTGAACAACTTTTAATGGTGTGTAGTTAAAAGCTCATCTACAACTAGTAACATACTTCTATGCTCTAATTAGTTAATAACATATAAGTTTCGTTCAAATCTGCGACTTGACCAAAATCGTCAATTTTCATGACTATATTTATCGAAAAAAGTCGAAAAATTGTCCATTTTTGCGTATTTTTTAACACATTTTCAAGCTGTCTAGAAAAGTAGTAAACATAGTGATAAAACTATGAAAATTTCAGGATCTGTAGCAAATTTCATGTACTTTTAGAATATGTAAACTATTAAAGGCATATATCCTCCAGTTTTACTAAAAACTCAATTATATCAAACCTTGTTTCTGAACAAATTTTTTGATCATGGTTACACATTTTAAAACTCTCAAAAAATTAGTAAACAAGATCATAGAATTTTGAAAATTCCAGCATTTGTAGAAAATTTTATGCAGATTTAGGATATATAACTTAATTATTGAATTAATTAGTCAAAATTGGCGTTTTTGTTTACTATAACTATTATTTACATTTCCGGGACTACCAAATCGTCTTCTAATTCTCTTTTAGGTCTTTTTAACAGTATTTTAACCAGAATTTAACCGTTCTAAGCCTATTCTTGGCCCATTTTCCGTACTTCCAACACCCCCAAAGCTGTATATAGTAAATCTTCCTAGAAATTATTCACACAGCCCAGCGCGCCGTGTTATGCAAAACGTTTTACTTTACATTTTCGCTACGTTTCGACACGAACGACTCTGTTGCTCATTGGCAGATCGTCGGCAGTCGATAACGCGACCAACTTATTAAAAATTTATTATTAATGGCCCAGGAAGTCCGTGTACAAATGGCCTTTTTAACGTATACGCGTTTTTTTTAAATATCTTCCATCGATAAAGTAACTTTTAGTGATAAATTAGTTTTTTTTTAAATTGTAATCATTAGTAAGTTATGCATTTCCACTCGAGTGGACTTGTGTGTTTTAAATGTATTACGTAAATTTAAAAATATATCACTCTGACCACTGAATTATTTACAGGATGTCCCAATATTCCATGGAGATAAAACTACTAAGTATATTTAGAATCAAAATTATGTTTTAATTGAACACAATAAGTTTGCTCTGTACAGGGTGGGTCAAATTCGACGCTTTTAAATGGAAACACCCTTTTCTATAGGAGATAGACGAAAACTAATATCGGTGTCTGGAGCTCAATTTTCATCAAAAGCATGATGGTGAAAACCGCACATCAATATCTGTTATCGTTTCGGAGTTACGTTAATAATTTAAGAGTTATCAACAGAAAAATTGATTTTTTATTTGGGACACCCTTTATATTTTTAATTAACTGAAAAGAATTTAAAATTACCTTTCCAAAAATATAGCACACTTGATATTTTGTTATAATCCTCTTCGAAATACAGAATTTTTAAAAGTTCGCCACTTTTAACTAGTGGGATTTGGACCCCTTATTGATGATATGCCCCTAATGGAACTCGAAAACATTTTTCCAGCAAGACGACGCACCGCCTCTGAACGCCGAAGTTATCAGCAAATTTTTGCAGCCAATTTCAAGAATAATTGGATAGCTAACCAAGATCCCAGCCGTTGGCCGTCGAGGCCGCCTGAGTTAGTGCCCATGGATCTAATCCTATGGATATATTTGAGGAAGAATAAAGGTTCCTTATTCTTCCGTATAATCTAGACAAGAATTAAAAATACTTAGCAGTTATGGGAGGGTATCTTTCGCCTCCACTGAATTAATGAATTCCGCGAGAAATATTCAAAAACTGCCCCGTCTCTCCATAACAGAAGACGGTCGATATGTCGAACACCTGTAGCAAAATCTCATGTCTTGGTTTACTATTTGTTTTTATTGTTATTAGACATAGTTTAAATGTGTTGATGTTGGTTAAATATATTTTAAATTGTTATAAAATTCTGCATCTCTCATAGCAAATATTATTTTCGTTTTAATTGATGCTCACAGCTGGAATTTTTTTGCATTACGGTGCCGGTGCCGTTCAAAGCCTACTTATTTAAAGCCGGCGAATTTTTATATACTCTATATCTCGAAGAGGAATCGAGCAAAATATCAAGTGTGTTATATTTTTGGAAAGGTAATTTTAAATTATTTTCAATAAATTAAAAATATACAGGGTGTCCCATATAAAAAATCAAATTTTCTGTTGATAATTTTTAAATTATTAATTTTAAAAAATTATGCTTAAACCATTAAATTCTATGTGAAAAGGTGCTTTGGAAATGTTTTCATAAAAATACAAAATTTTCCATAGCAAAAAAGTTACAGCGATTTGTTAAAAATGCATATTTTTGAAAAACACCCCGTAACTCCTCACAATATGCGGTTTTCACCGTCTCATTTCATGTCTCTTAAATAGAAATAGTCAATACAGGTCATTGTTGATAAAAAATAAACATGCATGTTGAGTAGATAGTTATTTGAGTGAAATGATAAATTTGGGAACTTTTTAAGTTTTTCTTCGAAAAAATTATGATAAAACAGTTTCTGTTGAACTCTTGGCAGAAAAACATTTAGTAAACATGTTTAATTTATGTCAATGATGACAGGTATTGCTAATTTCGATTCCAAATATCTCGAGAACCATTACTCGCAGCGGTTTTAACAAAAACACTTTTTTACATAAAAAAAACATCCTAAATATATATTTTTTTACTCAGTAGTTTTATACAGGTACGGACGACAAACCAGTTCAAACCAGTTAAAACTTATGTAGGTGGTGCCCTCCACAAGTAGGAGTCATATTGACATCAAAATCAAATTTCTCATGTCAAAAACTCCCAGACACCAATTTTCATCAAAATATGACGTTACTTACTAAATTATTTGGAAAAAATCAAAAAATCAAAATAGAAATGAAACTTCTACACCCTGTATCTCCGTAACTAAGGATTTTAGGACATACATTTATACGACCTTTTTTACTTATACGGTTCTTAAAATATCTTAAAAGATGTGTTTTATTTTTTTAAAGTTAACCATCTATCGGGCAAACTAAGCACTTTTGTACGAGTTATATAGAAGACATTTTATACAGAGTTATACAGAATATTGACGTTACTTTAAAAATTATTTGGAAAAAAATCGAAATACAAATGAAACTTCTACACCCTGTATCTCGGAAACAAAGCATTTTATAACATACATTTCTACGAACTTTTTTACTTATTTTTATCTGCAGAATATACTGCCGAAGTTTCCGGAATACAGTTCGGACCACCCTGTATTATAGAAAATATCTTTATACAATAATGACTTACGGGAGTTTGTGTAGATGTCTCTGAGTCATCGCTAACACCCTGTAACAAAAAAAAACATAATTTAACAGAAAATCAGTAAAAAATAGTTATTTATGTAACAATTTGCGAAATGAATGTTATGAATGATAATCGGTTTCTAAGTCATTGTTTATGTATTGTTTAATGACAAAGTTCTGTCAGGTTCAAACGTCGCCGTATTTCCTAGAAAGTTTTGTGAAAAAATGAGTGATAATGACGAGTCTTTGGATATGCAACAAGCTGCTGAAACTGCGCTATCCACGTTAGTGCCCGAGAAGTCGAAAAACTTATACGAGACCACCTACAACAACCTTGAAACCTGGGTCAAAGAAAAACATGTTGAGAATTTCACAGAAAACGTACTGCTAGCCTATTTTCTGAAGTTAATCCACTACCTTGAAGCCGTCAACTCTGTGGAGTAAATATTCGATGCTCCGCACCATGATTTACCTGAACAGAAACGTAGTAGATATTAGCAAATTCACAAACCTTATTGCATTTTTACAAAGAAAACCTTCCGGATATCAGGCAAAGAAATCAAAAGTATTTACAAAACTAGTATTACAATATTTTTTCTACGACTAGCCTAGAAAATGCAGTTTGACACGGAAAACTCGATCTGAAATTGGCGTTTTGCAAACTGTTGTGTGCTAAGGATATAGCGAACGGCATGTGTCATTTTGCACACGACATGTGCCAATTTTAACATTTTTAACCTCCAATGTTTAGCTGAAACGCCAAACGCAACGCAGCCGTCACAAAAGTGTCATCATTACATCGCAAATTATTTCACTAATTTGTAGTCGTAGAAAAAATAGCGTAAAAAACTCGTTCGAAAACTTCTTTGTACACTCGTTCGACTTGTGACAACTTCACAATAAACTGTCGAACTGGTGTGCAAAACGTCGTTTTCGAAACTCGTTGTTTAGTATACTATTCACTGTTTCTAACGTTTTATTTTTTACTTTTAGGCACTAGTGTCACTTTTAGATACTAGTGCCTAAAAGAATTTCATTTCGAATCTCAAATAAATATCCAAAACTGACAATTTCGAAACGTTTTCACAAAAAGTTATTTCTATAAAAAAACATTGGATTCAAACCTTTTCTCTGATATGCACGGTATTTAGTGAGTAAAAACCCCGATACTGATGCGATTTTTCTGATGCGACCGCAGAAGCCAAAAGGGATTCTATTACCGTCTCGTCTTCGCCGCGGTACCCGATAGGTACCGATAAAATAATTTCCCCTGTATGGTGCGCGACGCATAAATAACGTTGCGCAGAAGTAAATTATCGCCGCTATCTTTGCCGGTAACGCGATACACGTAAATCAGTACCGGCGGTACTGCCCGGCCCCTCGTTCCCCTCCGCGCATCAGGTATATAGTTTTTTTTCTTTTCGTTTTCGGACACCCACTCTACCGGGTACTACGGAAAGTACCGTGGTTTCGAGTAAAGGAATAGGTTAAAGGCTTTGATGCTTTAGTTTTATTAGAAAGTTGATTTTTTCAATCCTAGTTTTTGAACAATTTTTGATGATAGTTAAATTTTTGTCTAAAATTAGTAACGCAGTCTTAATCCCAAAACGGACCATATTTTCTTATTCTACGGCTTTGAATTAGTTAATTTTTTGTTTCATTAAAACCTATGACTTGATCAAAATCGTCAATTTTCATGACTATATGTATGGAAAAACTTTTTTTCAAAAAAAAGCGATTTTTTACAAATTTTTAGAGGGTTTAGAAAAATAGTAAACTTAATGATAAAATTATGAAAAATTCAAAATGTGTAGGAAATTTTATGTACTTTTGGAATATATAAACCTTTAAAGGCTTTGATGCTTTCGTTTTGTTAGAAATTAGATTCATTCAAGTCTTATTTTTGAACCAATTTTTAATGACAGTTAAAAATTCGTCTGCAATTATTAGTAACGTACTCCTAAGCCCAAAACGGACTATATTTTACTATTCTATGCCTTTTAAATAGTTAATAACATTAGTTTCATTAAAATCTGTGACTTGACCAAAATCGTCAATTTTCATGTATGTTTCGTATAGGGAAAAACTTCGAAAAATTGAAATTTTTGGCGATTTTTTACAAATTTTTAGAGGGTCTAGAAAAATAGTAAACTTAGTGATAAAATTATGAAAAATGCAGGATTTGTAGGAAAGTTTATGTACTTTTAGAATATATAAACCTTTAAAGGCTTTGATGCTTCCGTTTTGTTAGAAATTTGGTTCATTCAACTATTGTTTTTGAACAACTTTTGATGACAGTTAAACATTCATCTATAATTAGTAACGTACTCCTAAACCCAAAGCGGACTATATTTTACTATTCTATGCCTTTTGATTAGTTACTAACATTAGTTTCATTAAAATCTGTGACTTGACCAAAATCGTCAATTTTCATGACTATAGTATGGAAATACTTTGAAAAATTGTAATTTTTGGCGATAACTTTTGATGGTAGTTAAAAGTTCGTCTACAACTAGTAACATATAACATAAGTTTCATTAAAATCTGTGACATAACCAAAATCGTCAATTTTCATGACTATATGTATGGAAAACTTCGAAAAATTGTCCATTTTTGACGATTTTTAACACATTTTCGAAGTGTGTACAAAAATAGTAAATTTGGCGACAAAATTATGAAAATTTCAGGATTTGTAGGAAATTTTATGTACTTTTAGAATATATAAACGTTTAAAGGCTTTGATGCTTTAGTTTTATTAGAAAGTTGATTTTTTCAATCTTTGTTTTTGAACAATTTTTGATGATAGTTAAATTTTTGTCTAAAATTAGTAACGCAGTCTTAATCCCAAAACGGACCATATTTTCTTATTCTACGCCTTTGAATTAGTTAATTTTTTGTTTCATTAAAACCTATGACTTGATCAAAATCGTCAATTTTCATGACTATATGTATGGAAAAACTTCGAAAAATTGACCATTTCTGGCGATTTTTAACACATTTTCGAAGTGTGTACAAAAATAGTACACTTAGTGATAAAATTATGAAAATTTCAGGATTTTTAGTAAATTTTATGTACTTTTAGAATATACCACCCTTTAAAAGCTTCAATGCTTGGGTTTATTAGAAGATCGATATTATTTATCCTTGTTTCACAAAGCGATAACAAAGACTATTTTAACATTGACCAGAACTAAAAAAAAAGTAGAGAAACAGCAAAAACAAGATAAATAAAAGAGAACCAGTGAGGGAAATAAAGATAGTTAATATGACACACAGAATTTAAAAAAATACCTAATGTCTCAATATAACTTATGTTAGTTAATGTTATACCTATATCGTTTAGCACTTTTTGGCTATCCCCTGTACGTCCTGTATGGTTCTTTTTTATCCCGTCGCTGTCCGTATAACTTTAACTCGTTGATATGATCTTTTAACTGCATATTAAACCCGAGTATAAGTTGTAGCCATAAATATATTCGCATTATTTGTAACTACCCGTCGGTTAGCCTTATTGATTTAGCTGGCTTGTAAACGCCTGTTTCTCTTTCTTTTTTTGTTGTTGTTTGTTTTCTTGTTTTTCTCCTTATTTTTTACGTTATTTTTGCAGATTGGTTTTTTTTGTCTTTAATAGGTTGTCAGATTTAGAAAACCAATATTTCTTTGATTAAAATGAAATAAGAGGAGGAGCTTTTGTCTTACGTTGAAATAAACTAAAAAAAAGATAACAAAAAAAAAATAATTTAATTATATTATAGCGCATATAACATAGATTATTCTATATTGAAATAAAAAACCTTAATAAAATTTGATTCTAGCAATTTAAGTAAAGATTACATCAGTCTGATTTCTGATAAGTTAACCTAAATGGGCCATTCTTCATCTTTGAACATGATTTTTACAAAACCAAAACTGCCGAAAAATAAGTCGTCCAAAATTAGGCAAATCAACTTGTCGTGTCCACATGCAATTTGGACCTGTGATGTCCCCAGTGTTGCCAAACTGTCCAGGATTATAGTCTATAAATCTCAGACACATACATAAGTAAACCTAAAGTATTTCTAAAATATTTTTTTACTTATGTTTCTGGGAAACAAACCAATAAAAAAAGTATTTAAAAAAAACAAAAAATATTTTTCCTCAGATTCAAGGACAAAATCCCCAAATCAACAACCTCGCGTGGTCCTATCCCATTTAAATCCTTGTACCAGACCGGTATAACGGTCAAAAACAAACGTCTACGACCGTGCTACCCGTGCCCCTCCAAAGTCCCCAACAGCACCCCCCTGCGACGATTTATTTTAATAGGGATTATATTCAAATTTGATTTTGGGAAGCACGCGACTAAAACACGACAGTTTGGATACATACAGTGGTGGCCAAAAGTATGGAAACTATTTTAATTTGTCATTTATGCTAAGAAATTGAAATATGAAATAAAACGACTTATATAATCGTGACCTACAAATTATTTCCTACAAAACCTAATACATTTAAATAAAAAATTACAGCTATCAAAAAATATATAAAAAATTATGAATATTTTCTTGGTCAAAAGTATGGAAACTTAAGAAGAATGTTTATTAAAATTCAAGATAATATAAAAATTACTAATATTTAGTGGAATATCCCTTTGAATTAATTACTTCTCTACATCTTCGTGGCATCGAATCGATCAATCTCGTACAATCTTTACTGGAAATGGCCGCCCATTCAGTTTTTAGCACTTCCCATAATTCATTTTTATTTGAAATAGAATGGCTTCAATTTTGCTATCCAAATGGTCCCATACATTTTCTATGGGGTTAAGATCCGGAGACTGTGAGGGCCAATCCATTAGTGGAACATTATGTTCATTTAACCAATTTTGAACAAACCGAGATTTGTGCTTGGGATCATTGTCTTGCTGGAACAACCATCTGAGTGGCATTTCTTCATCAGAATGAGGCAGCATATTATTCTCCAATATGTCTTTGTACAAAAAACGATCCATTATCCCATCAATTTTAACAAGAGGACCAACACCTGAGCGAGAAAAACACCCCC